CGGCCCCTGGGGTCGTTGGCGCCAGGGCCGGCTCCAGGCACCAGCTCAACAAGCACCTGTGGCAATTTGGGGGCAGAAGGACCTGCTGCTGAACTGCTGATCGCGGCCTTTTTTTTTTTGCTTGGGGCGGCAGAAATGCTGGAGCCGGCCCTGGCGCCAACGACCCCAGGGGCCGAAACGCAGCTGAGCTCAGGGAGAGGGTAGGTGCCACTGGTGGGCCCCAAACACAGCCCCTCGGGGATGGGAGCACAGCCAGCGACCCACGGCTCAGAGGGGTGGGATGAGGAGCTCCCTGCACACCATGGGGGTGATCAGAGCTCAGTGATGTGACCAAGTGGCCTTAGACGCAGCTGGGATGGGCAGGGAAGAGGAGAGCCGGGCTCCTGCCCGGCTGTATTGAACAGAGAACCGCAGAACAGCAATCAACAGCAGGTGTCTTTATTCAGTCCAATTGGCACCGGCCCCAGCGACTGCCCTGGGACCTTCCCACCCCAGGTGCTGCTGGAGGGTGGCTGCAGTGCACACAACCCGACTCACCATAACGGGGGTCAGACTGCACATCCCGGGCGACCAGCCAGCCCTGTGCTCCCCCAGGGGAGGGGGGCTTCCACGCACTGCTCAGCTAGTGCACACGCAGACCCCGCCCATCACCAGGAGCCCTGGGAGGATGCGGGTGCCAGCCAGTGCCAGCCACCAGGGAAATGCTACTCGCTTCCTAGCGGGACCCTGGGAAGTCTCGGAGAAGCCCTGGAATCCAGCGACCTGAAGGGGAAAGGCAGGAGGCAAACCCAAGGAGATGGAGTGCGGTGGCAGTGCTATGCAGCCCATCCATGCCGCAGCCAGCGCTTCTCTTTGCAGGGCCCAGCCAAACTAATCCACAGCACACGTCGCACTCGCCAGCTACCCACAAAGGGCTCAAATACTATAGTGTCCCCAGAGCAAATCCACTTGGCGCACGGCCCCACTGCAGGAAAGCACGGGCCGGACGGACGGCAGGATGCGGGGGGGGGCCTATAGGGCAGGGTGTGTGGGGGGGACAGGACGCAGGGAGGCCCATGGTGGGGGTGGGAAGAAGCAGTAGCCACTGTAGCGTGAGTGCCCATCCTGTGGCACCAGCAGGCGACGCTTCAGAGAGGCTCCAGTGGTGCCAGGCATGCTGGGCTGCGTTCCCGGAGCAGGGGCTCGGTGCTCCCCAAACACCGGCCCTGCCCAGCGATTCCCTTCCTCCAGGCCGCAGAGCGCTGGGCTGGGCCGGCCGGGCTCCCGCTCAGCGCGTTCATGGCCCCGCTCGCTCCGGGGAGTGGGGCATCGCGGGCTCTAGGCAGGCTCCTTCCGCAGCGGCTCTGCTGGCCACGGCCACCGTCACACTTGCACGCTGGGAGCTTGCGCCAGGCCCAGGGCCTGCACCAAGTCATCGCTCAGGCCGCTCTTCAGAGTCCGCCGCACTGGGGAGAAAGGCAGAATTAGGGCCCTGCTGCCGGCGTCACACGGGGGCAGGGCGGCAGGCAGGGCACAGCCCAGGTCTGCTGCCGGCGTCACACGGGGGGCAGGG